TGAATGCGAAGATATTGTTGTGCCTCAATATGTAGGCAAACAGCTCATCCGCGATCGAGCTTTGTTTAGATCAAATCAATATTCTGCATCTACATAATCAAATCATTTCTGACTCATGAGAGATTGATCAATTTTATTGAAGCTCGTCTTTTCTTTTCAAAGAAAATCATACATCTTATAGCATTTGTACAACCAGCAATATGTAAGTGCACCAATGCACTAATACATGACATGTTAAATCATTTTCATGAGGTTGAAAAAATTCTTTCTTTGTGTTAAGCAATCTCAAAACCATTGGGTACTAAATGGAATTGCTTTAAGACCTTTTAAATCCTTCAAGGATTTTCATATAACCTCAATCGTCTAGTTAGACATAATAATCGATCATTATGAATATTCAAATATTTCATCTACTGCCAGGATGAAACAAGTCTTATTGCATTTTATCTCCATGTCAGGATTTTTACAAAAACTCTTTGTGCCTCAAGACACAAACTGTACTTTATATCTTACGGTTATACTTTTGCACAATGATTTATTTGTACCCCATTGAGATATATTTTGATTTAGGAACTATAAGTTCAAAAACATCACTTTTCAAAGTGAAACAAAAATACATGAATAGTGTATTTTATTTGGCTAATTATTTATCTGTGCCCACTATATGATAATTTCAAATTTAACATCCTCATAACCATTCATAGCATTGAGTGCTACTTCATATCAAATATACCGTCGCTGACTATTTTGATATCAATTCTAATACGACATAACTTATCGAGATCTCTTCATTTTTCATTCTTTTCAGGTACCTGAACCTTTGCCAAGGTTTTATGAAATGTTATGTCGTAGTGCTCTTTCAAAGCACTTACCTCACTATCACTGACCAGTTTGATAATTTGCTCCTCTCCTTTCTCAAGTAGTTTTACATTTGGAATCGATTGATGTATCACGCTTTTAACGTATCATAGACTCTGTCCTTTAAGGACTATTTATTGGAGAATTTACAACTTAATTAAAATATTGGGTCAGCAAATACATCTGGCCAATTACATACAACATTTTGCAAATGAATTATCCCTTGAACTTGAAGTTCACATTTTTTACGAAGATCTACATAATTCATTCCACATATAATTTTCAATTGCTACACATATCTCCCCCTAATGTGAGGAAATCAAAGATTCACCCTTAACCTCAATTGGGGATCCATCTTTGTGCATGGTGGAGCAATAAAATCACATGTGCACACGTCAAAATTTTCAGATGGAAATTATTTGGTTCCTGACCCTGAACCAATTGTGTTTGGAGAACCTTATTGGCTTAATGAATACATGTTAAATAAACTAATGTCAAACCAAATTTTATTTGAGATATTTGTTCTCATAATCTATGGTTTACCTATAATTGGAGGTATACAATTTCTGCTAAACCAACCAACATTATCAATGTGACTTTATAGTTTGAAACTGTGCTCTTAATTTATTAATTCTAGGAAATAACCTTAAAAAAGCCAATTTGTAAGTTGTTACAAATGCACATGTGACCATACCATAAATGCATCTATTAAATCACAATAGTAAACGCTCCACATGGCAGGTGAACCGGCTCATATTCACATTTTTATACATTCCAAATAATTTCAGGGGATACAATCCCACCCTTAGGTGTTACAATGAATATTTTATAACGAGAACAAGCAACAAAAGAAAATTCTTGATGAATATTTTATTTCTTCAACATATAGCAGCGTAAATTCTCAATTTCTTTTGCATCACAGTAGAATTGAAATGGCCAACCGATTGTGTCAACTGATATTTATTCTAGTAAATTTCTAGTTTACTTTTGCATGTGATTCCATCAGCATGCTCATGTTTGTATACAACAAACAAGAAGGAAAAAATGGGTAATCTGATACATAAATATTTACAACCCACTTTTGTTGTAGTAATTTGAAGATATTAAATCTTCCCATAATTTATAGTCTTGATATAATATTTTTCTTTTCAATTCTTCTGAAACTTAAAAGTTTCTTTTGAGATTCAATACAAACCCAATATTATGGACAATTTCTTACCTTCGGATAGTAACAAATTAGTCCTTTCGAAATTCTCAACTAATTTTATGTACTATCACAAATTTTACAACGTCATTATTATGGTGACCATCTTCTTCAAGGATAAAATTATTGTTATTATTGTCATGGTTAAATTATCACATGCAAGACTTATTTCTTGACAATCAATGACTTTTTTTTGTTGGTCAAAGCCACGACCTTTATAGTAAAGAATTATTTCTTTTCTTTGTCCTTCAATAGTTCATAATTTAACATATCACAATATTTGTGTAGTACTTAAAGTATATGACTATATCATCATTTATGTCAAAATATTTCATTTCAAAATCTCAAACCTACCGTAGAGGTGAGATGTGACATTTATCCAACAATTCATGGACATGTTCTTATCCATAAGAACACAAGTCATATTTTCTTTAAGAAATGGACCACAACCATTAGAACATGCTCCATAAGTTTCTATTAGAAACTTATTGTCATACTTTCACATTTATCAAATTTATGTGACTCACCTCAATATCACTTTAAGAGATCAAATGTACTAAAGGTACTATCACTTTATATTCTTATTTGATGGAGGATTTAAAAAAAAAATTAAATTTGGGTTGCCCCAACAACAATGTGTCAAATAACTTCTCCTACAACTTTGTTGGATAAAAATTACCTTCACATTTGAAGGACCATCTTAAGAACCCATAATGTTCTTCCTCTTCATTACCACAGTGATGACCATTAGTATTTTACCATATCAATATTCATACATTCAACCACTTATCATTTTCCAGACATATTAAGCACTGCTGTTACATCCACGTAAGAGAATGGAGAAAATTAATTGGGTAAATTTCATGACTTTCAGTCAAAAGTATACAACTTTGTGTTAGTCATCATCATATCATCATTATAGTGCATTAGTACTTAAACCCAATGTTTTACCCATATAAAGACACATTTGGTCATAAACCGATGGGATTTAAACCCAACTTCTTATTATCTTGGTGCACCGAGACGTTACTCGATGTCTTACCCGCTTGGTGCGGTGAAACTTGAATTCACCGTCTTACCCTCAACCAATGCCTTATAAACCAAATACATTTTTAAGAATAAATAACTATTAAATATCATAAATATAATCTGAAAATTGACTTAAAATTGAATAAAAATGAACTAAATTATTAATTGGAATAGCATGTTGGAACCATATAAAAGTCCCAAGTTAAAATAAATTAAAACATTTTAATAGCCCCTCTCAATATTGTTATAAAGATTATCATAATTTACTCACCGCCTTTCAAATAACCACAGAACAAAATTTGTTAGTACAAATAATATATAGAATATGAAGTATACCTTGCATGAAGAATTACTAGGATAATTCATAAATAATAAAAAATACCTACCATTGATTCTTGATGGAGAATGAGCAACTCATGCTGATAACGTATTGTAACAATAAAGCAAAATAAGACAAGGAATATAAAAGATAAATCAATAAAAATAAGGAAACAAAAGATGAGAGCATTTCTTATTCTTCAAAGTATTCATCAAATCTTCTAGTCTCTACAATATAAACCCTTATGCCTCTAATTTATAGTGTAACATAGAGTTATACAAAAGGTTAGTCATATACATGACATTAAACATGAATATAAAAAAAGAGGTTATGGAGGAAAAATATTACAAAATAGTTATCATAAAGGTGGAAGTTATCTTCATAACGGAGGGAAATAATGTAGTAACTTCTTGGTATAGTGGATTATCTTCATAATGGAGGAAAGTAATGTAGTAACCTTTTAATGTAGTGGACTTCCATTGTTTTTCTTTTTGCTAGTTTATACTTAAAAAAATAAAATATAACTAATCTATTACAAGTACATTATAATATCTCATGTGAATATTCTATCAATATGATGTATATATATTTATATATTTTTAATATATCAAATATATGAATTATGTAAAAATTCATGTCCTAACAAAATAATAAAATACGTTAATTAAGTATGTGGAATATATTTAATAATGAATATATAACGCTAATATATGATTGCATATGCACCGTCAAAATATATACAATCTAATTTATAATATTAATAAAATTTTTACATTTGGATTTCAAATGGAAAAAAAAGGTTGTTCGTGTATAAAAGAAATAAGAAAAAAAGTTAGAAAAACAGTTTAGTTACGTAAAATTCTTGACCAAAAAAAGATTTACAAATAAATCTACAGGGTAAATGTATAATTTACTGTTTTATTACATATATAACTAATACCGCATAACTTATTCCACCTCTATCATGCATAACTTATAGTATATTTTTCATAAGCTAGATTAATATTAATTATGTAGAACTGTAAAAACTACAATCAAACATCGAATAAAATTTATAATACATGAATAACTTTTATGCAATATCTAGAATCCTACCAACCAAAACATAATATAAATTAATACAATACTTCTATCAAACATATTTATAACTGAATGTACCTTATATGCCTCTTAATTCGTTCCTTCCCTTCTCATACCATGGGTTTCAGTTTGTTCATGATTAGTTTATTAATTATGATCATATTAAAAATGTTGGCAAATAGTGTTTCTATCTCTATACAGTAGGAATATGATTTTGATATATCAGTTAGTTTGGATAATTATGCTCCCCTTTTAATTAAAGACACTGGATATCTCGGGAAAAAAAAAGCTTAATTAAATTTTAGTCAATTGTACCTCTTGAACATACTATAGAATACAAGTGGACGATTTGGCAACCAACATCATATACAAAACAAGAAAAACTATGGTTTTAGTTCATCTAAGAAATTTACTTGAATGATAAAACATATGTCTATACAAAAATAATCAAAGATTAATTAGTCATGTTTATATGTTGTTGACTATAAGGTTAAATCCAAATTATTTTCCTTAAGAGGAAGAATTAGAAGAAGAAGAAATCCCAGAAAGTGGCTTGTTGAATGTAGTAGCACTAGCTGATGTTGAGGCATAATCACGATGATAATATGGATACATGTAAACCCAAGTAAGAGGCAAAACTCTTTTCATCATGTAATAATTTGGAACAACACTTGGCACATTTTGACTTTTATAATTATTCCCGAGTGGAACAATAGCATGATCATGTGTATCCTCTAATTGATCGAGACGAAGGTCAAAAACACTTGATTTCTTGTGATATTTTCTCTCATTAGCACCCAATAATCTCATGAAGTACTTTTGAGCATGACTAGCGACTTGTGTTGATGTTCTACTAGGCACAAAATCCTTAGCAATCTTAGACCAATTACCTTTCCCGTGAAAATCCAATCCCTTCAAAAATGCTGTCTGTTCATCCTCCGTCCATGGATTTCCTTTCTTGACTCTTCTTTCCATGCTATCTTTTTTAGACATTGCACCACCAGCACTAGTAGTTGTAGTAATCTCAACACCAAACAATTTAATACTTTTGCCTTTCTCACTGCATGTTCTTTGATTATGTCCATTCCCACCACACACCGTACAATTCCTTTCCATTGTACTATTATTTTTTCTCTTAACAGACTAATTTAATTAAATCAAGAATTATATTGTAAATATATAAGGAGTAAAGTTTCCTTTTTTATTCAATGTAAAAGAGAACCGTGTTTTTTCACCTTTATGGTAAATAATACTAGTAGTAGTAATAATGTTACAACATCTTATTTTATTTATTTTTTTGAAGCAGATTATGTATTATCGATTAATCCATATAGAACTTCAAATAATATGTATCAGATTTCATTAGGAATTTTTTTTTACTACTACTATTTTACAGATCTTTATTTTACCACTGATTAAGGTTTTGCTCCATCGAGATCTTTGTTATATATTCGTATAACAACAAAAGATTTTATTTTTATATGGTATAAAAGTTACTTTGCATTTATTACGACCTAGAGAAATAAAGGGAAGTGTGTCTTTGGACTAAGGAAGATCTTTTGAGTTTATTTATGGGAAAGAGGTTAAGGATTATCATTGTACCAATTATAAGTTACCTCCTTTTTTTTTTCTTTGTTTTAATATCTTAATATGTGATAATCAAGAACACGCTGAAGGTTATTGTTTCCTCTAAGATTTGATCTGAAAGTAGTTCTGAAAAAGTGATCAATAAATCTTGTTTTTTTGTAGAGGATTTTATTTGTAATAATAAGTTAACCCACCTTATATTTATCTCTGTAGAATTTAAGTGGGTAACAAATGTTCTTAAATCATATGAAATTGAACAAAAATGTCCTTAATTAGTAGATGATTTAAAGAAGTCCTTATTGTTACTCAAATATAGGCCAAAAATACATTTCCTAAAAAATATATTAATATTTTTTAAAATCCGGTTGATCTAACCTTCTTATGTTGCTCTCTATCTCGATTTTGATTATCCTCAATCTGATGAGCAAGGTTCTCCACTTTCTGGGCAATAGCTGGTATCAAAGATATATCCATATCCCCTACAAGGATATTGATACTATGTAGTTTCTACTTTCTAATCATAGGTGACTCAAGGCCATCCATATACCGATGTATTCTAGCTTCCGTCGTACTGAAAATATACTTGGCCAATGAGACGAATTTGAAACTGTACTCTCTAACACTCATATTGCGCTGCTTGACGGATAAAAGCTGATCAACTTTGGCCACTTGAACCTCTCGTGGAAGAAAGTGAGCTAAAAAGGCTTCTAAAGAATCCTCTCATTTAACTGGAGGTGCATTCGATCCCCTAGACCTCTCCCAAGCCTTGAACCACAAAATGTTAACATCCCGCAACCTAAAGGATGCCAACTCTACGGACTCCATGTCTAAGGCATGCATAACTTAAAGCACCATATAAAGATCTGAGGGTAATCATTCATGTTAGAACCCATGAATATAGGAGGACTCAAGCTAACAAATGTTAGACATGATAGAGCAATGACGCAATGAAAATATAGTGTGATCGACATACCTCCAGTCATTGTTAGCAATATAGTCAAAGTCTACAATTCTTCTTTTCTTCAAAGATTTTCTATGCACTGAAAACCTCACTCTTAGATGATATGGAGTTTTTAGAAGTAATGTGCTTAGGGACCTTTGAACCAAATGACATATTTATAACCGTGCTTCCATCAAGAACGGTTAAGAGGTTATGGGAAGTCACAAACCACTATAATAGTAGGATAGTTAATCCATGTAGTGGGATAATCAATAGTTAACTACCTTTCTATTAGTGGGATAATGGATAGTTAATTACCTTCCCATTAGTGGGATAATGGACCCATGTAATACGGACCATGTCCGCATTAACAAAAATGCTAACGTTCTCCCACTTGGTTTGTATATTCTAATTCCATTAATGAAATATAATACAAGAATCATCGCGATAGTTTAATATTAACATTTTTGTTAATGCTGATATGGTCTGTATTCCATGGGTTCATTATCCCACTTCATGGACCCATGATCCTACTAACGGGAAGATAGATAACTACCCATTATCCCACTATATGGATTAACTATCTACTACTTTAGTGGTTCGTAACTTCGATAACCTCTTAACCATTCTTGATTGAAGCACTATTTAAATATATCATTTGGTTCAAAGGCCCCTAAGCACATTATTTCTAAAAACTCCATACCATCTGAGGGTGAGGTTTTGAGTGCTTAGAAGATCTATGAAGAAAAGAAAAATTGTAGACTCCGACTATATCGCTAACAATGGATGGAGGTATGTAGATCACATTATATTTCTGCTGCGCCATTGCTCTGTCATGTCTAACAACCCATGTAATACAGACCATATCAACATTAACAAAAAAGCTAACATTCTCCTACTTGGTCCATGTATTCTAATCCCATTAATGAAATATAATAGACGAATCATGATGATAGTTTCTCCTGGAGCGAGTAGTGTATCAAATGTGTCACAATGAACTATATCGCTAACTTTAGCCTATATAATTAATGAATAAACTCAATATCTATTGAAGATCGATACTTTAGTGACATTTCTAAAAATAAAACTGAATATGCACACAGGTAACGAGAAATATTATCTGAAATAGAGTTTCTTAAACATTCAGTGTTACAACGAAATTTTACATAGTGGGACTAAGTCCCATTGTGATTACATGATCCTTAAATTTTTGTGGTTGCATGTCTTTAGTTAAAGGATCGACTAACATTACTTCAGTTCTAACGTGTTTAATGACCACTTTCTTGTCTTTAACACATTCTCTTATGTCTAGATATTTGATGTCAATAGGCTTGCTTCGACTACCATTTTTATTATTCTTAGCCATAAATACAACAACTAAATTGTCACAATAAAATCTTAATGTCCCAAAGTAGAACTCTTTAACCATATACCATGTGAGGTTGCCTAAAAAAAAGAAACAAACTCAACCTCCATAGTGGAATTAACCTAAATATGCATCCTGAAGTTGATTTTCGTGAATCAACACAATCATTAAAGTCTGAATTAGAGTAGCCAATGACTTCCAAGTCATCTGATCGTTTGTACATAAGCATGTAGTCTTTTGTTCCTTGAAGATATCTTAAAATTTTCTTTGCAACTCTCCAATGGTCAAGACCTTGGTTACTCTAATATCTTTCTAACATTCTAACAACAAATGATATGTCATGTCTGGTACACACCTGAGCATACATCAAGCTTCTGACAACAGAAGCATAAGGACTTTCCTTCATTTGTTCCCTCTCAAGTTCATTTTCGGACACTGATTCAAATTGAACTTGTCACCCTTCACAATAGGAGCTACAATTGGTGAACAATCTTTCATTCAAACCTCTCTATAATTTTGTTGATATAGGATTCTTGAAATAAACCTAAGGTACCTTGTTCTATGTCGATGAATCTTAATACCAATAACATAAGATACATCACCCATATCTTTCATATCAATGGTTTTAGAGAGAAATTGTTTCATGTCATGTATCATTTCCTTATCATTAGATGTAAAAAAGATATCATCCACATATAGAAGTAAGAAACATATTTTACTCCCAGTGATCTTATGGTATATACATTGATCCATTATTTTCTCAACAAAGTCGAATAAAGAGATAACCTTATGAAATTTCAAATTCCATTAACAAGAAGCTTTTTTTAGTCCATATATGAATTTATTTAACTTGCATGCTAAGTGCTCACCATTAATAGAGCAGAATCCTTTAGGTTGATTCATATAAACCTCTTTCTCTTGACAACATTCAGAAATGCGATTTCCCCATCCATCTGTTGCAATTCCAAGTGAAAGTGTGCTACTAATGCCAATATTATGCGCAAGAAATCCTTTTTCGACATAGGAGAAAATGTCACTTTGTAATCAGTTCCTTTCTTTTGAGTGAATCCTTTAGCAATGAGTCTTGCTTTATATCTTTCTATATTCCTTGATGAGTGCTTTTTAGTCTTAAAGATCCATTTACATCTAATGGTTTTAAGACCATTAGGCAAATAAAAAAGATCCCAAACCTCATTACTTTTCATATAATTCATCTCTTCTTTCATGACATTGTACCACAATTCAAACTCTTTAGAATTCATCGCTTGTGAAAAAGACTCAAGATCATTTTTAACTCCACTGTCAGATTCTTGTAAATATATAACAGTCACTAGGAATTGCTAAAATTTTTTCTCAAGTAGATCTTCTCAATGTTGCACCAACATTTTCTTGCGGATCATGTTGTTCAACTGGTTGTTTAATAAATTCAGGAATTACTTGAACAACTTGATCTATATGCACATTTTTAGCAGTTTGTGGAATCTCATTGATTGGTTGCTCAACACGCAATTGACATTATTACGTTGTTCAACAGAACTACGAATACAGTAGACATTTTGGTCTTATTGAACATAACAATTAAACGGTTAGAGTGTTCCCATTGTTCTTGAAGAAAATCTCATCTTGAGTGTTAATTTCATTAATAGGTGCCTCGTCTTTCCTGATAGAATAATCAATATTCACATATCGTTTCTCCTTCCAAATCTTATAATTGTCACCATTCAATTCGGGCATATCACAAAAATCAGAGAAATTTGCATGTTGCATAACTGCAAAAAATTACATTACATAAATTTGAGGCAAATAATATAAAATTGAATCTAGTGACAAAAAAATTGCTTGTGGGCTAAGCTTTTAACTTAATTAGATTCATATTTATGATAAAATTACCGATTTAGTAGCATGATATTCTATCTTTATGACAAAACTATGAAACTCTCATTCATAATTCCTGTTGGTAATTATGAAAAGTATTTAATGTTTAATCTTAATTATTTCTGCAACTTTATATTAAAGAAATTAATTTATCATATCATGCATAAATAATTACAATTCTAATGTCTAAAAACTTCTTTATATGAACTTTAAAATTTTATTCAATTAAAGATGTTGTGACGAAACTTGAATCAAATAAATTCTAGATCACTTAAACATTTATTTCTTTAAGTGATCCAAAATATAATATATAATATCATTTAATTAAGATTGTTGTGGCTAAATCTC